TATTTAAGTGTATTGTAGGCTTTTAATTGAGAGAAAGGAGAATATTGTCTAAATCTTTAAATAAAATAACAATAGAAAAAAATATTTAAATTATCATTCATATATATTATATAAAATGCTACACTCAAGTATTAATTAGACACTAAAATTTGTCATTTTTATTTTAATTATAAAAAAATATATTTTGTTAAAAGTTAAAAAGAAAATATAGTATTTTTACATTCAAATGTAGACCTGGCAAACGGGCACATTGGGTCGGGTTCAAGTTGGATCAACTCAGGTAACGAGTTACCCGAGTTGGGCTATAAATGGATTGCAGGTTGAAAAATCCAACCCTAACTCAACCCTAGCGGGTTATGGATTAAGCGGTGAGTTAATTTTATTTTCATTTTTTATAATTATTTTTATTAATTTTATTATATACAAATGAAATTATATATATCTAAATTTAATTAAAGTATTGTAACTCATTAATACTAAACACTTTATGGTTTCAACCATAAACATTTAAATTAAAAAAAATTATAAAATTATAAATAATAGTAAGTTGATTAACAATATTAAATTTGAAATATTTAAATTTCTTGGAAAATAAAGTTTTAATTTGAAAATCATCTTGAAACATTATCAAGAAGTTTAAGCCCTATTTGTTATGATGAAATTGATCTTCTGTGAACATTTTTCACTAAATTATTATGTTTATATCCTAACATCACATCTTTAATATTTTTAGTTACATTATCATTTAATTCATGATACTTGATAATTAGATCAAATCCACATAATTTCTAAAGAAAGAAGAAGAAATTATGATGAGTAAACACTTAAAATAAGTTCAAAATTATTTGAGTAATGGAAACAAGGTTGAAGAGTATGAATTAATTAAGAGAGTTACCAATAAGAAAATTAATTAAGAACAATAAATATAATATTTTTAAAGATAATAATAAAAAAATAAAATAAACAGGTTAACATATCAACCCATGGGTTAATCTTAACCCGACTCATGACTCGTATGTGTTGATATTACAAGTTATTTACATGTTGCAGATTAGGATATATAAATCATACCCTATTTTTATGAGTTTGGTTAGGGTTGGGTTATCAGGTGGGGTGGATTTTTGCCTCCCCTATTCAAATATAATAAATATACATATTAATAATATTAGTTTCACCCTTTTATCTTCTCATCTTCTTCTCTTCCATTTCCATTTTCATTTCTCTTCTTAATATTCTCAATTATTTTACTATTATTAACCTTCATTACTATTATGGAGAATAAAAACATATTATTACAATTTCATTTATCATCATTTATAACACTACTATAACATTTTTATTCATAATTTCCTTTTATCATTTTCAATTTTTTTCACCTCATGCAGCTTTTTTTTGGTTGGAAAAAAATGCGCACGAAGAAGTGAGGCTTAAAAAAGCTTGACAAAAAAATAAGATTTTTGTAGAAATTGTTTGACTTTATTTCATATAGAATTTTTTTTTGTTTTATCGAATTTTTTTAAAATAATAGAATATGTATATATATGTATTTGTTTTAAATGTAAACATACAAAAGAATGAGATGATGACGATACAAAATAAGACTTTTGATTGATAAATTAAAAATATGAAGAATTTAAGAAATATCCGTATTAGTTCATCAATCTTTATAAATGTCAAAATCAATCAAAGAAAATTTAGTTCTTTTTATTTATTTATTTTGAATTACATACACATGCTTTATTTCTATTTTTCTTAACATATAGTTTGAAAATGTTATTTAATAATAATAA